ACCCTGCTGAGGGTGTAGAGCTGGTCCAGTGTTCCACGACCAGGACGAAAACCACACTGCTCTTCCTGAATCCGAGGTTCGACTATCCGACGGACCTCTTATTACTAAACCTGACCAAATTCTTGGTTCTCTAGCTCTTTTTTATCAGTCTTTTGTTACGAATCTTGGTGTCATTTTTGACAGCTTGAAATTGGATAAGCAGGTGAGCACTGTTGTGAAATCAAGCTTTTTTATCTGCACCTTCTAGCAAAGGTAAAATCAAGTTTTGTTTCAAAGATTTTGAGAAACTTGTTCATGCATTTATTACTACACGCTCAGATTACTGTAACTCTTTATACAAAATCTTGGACCAATCTTTAAGTCTTCAAATGGTTCAGAATGCTGCAGCTCGACTCCTAACTGGAACCAAAGAACATGATCATATAACTCCAGTACTGGCTTCTCTGCATTGGCTGCCAGTTTCTTATCGCATTGAATTCAAAATTCTTTTTTGGTTTTTAAAGCTATAAATGCTTGGCCCCAGCCTATCTTAAGGTTCTTCTACATGACTATTCCTCTTCTAGATCACTTCGGTCGAACAATAAACTGCTTCTACACGTTCCCAGAAGCAGACTGAAAAGCAGAGGAGACCGGGCGTTTGCTGTCACTGCTCCTAATTTGTGGAACAACTTACCACTCATTATTAGATCTGCCCATAATCTGGAACACTTCAAATCTCTTCTGAAAACTCATTTTTACTCTGGCATTTCAATAAGGATTTACATTGTATTCTATGTGTCTTGTTTATTTATTGTTTTTACTTCAGTATGTTTTTATCAGTTGTTTTATGATTATTGTACAGCACTTTGGTGCAGTTGGTTGCTGTTTTTTAAAGTGCTCTAGAAATAAATTTGACCGTTCGTACGCACACATTTGTTCTTAAGTTGTGCGTACGAGTGATTTAGGAGAATTTGTGACATTCACCAATGTTTTCGTATTCTAAGATTTTTTTCAGATACGAACAAAATTTACGAGTGGTCCAGACCTTACAGTGTGCAGCGCTGTGTCTTCTGAATAAATGAAAATGATTTAACACAGTTGTTTATATTTTTAGCAGCTCTTTTTATCCCACAGCTGAGCTGCTAAAAATGACAGATTTTCTTTTCTGGATCTCTGACAGACGGACTTCAATCTCTGAACTCGTAAAGTTTTTCTTTTTAATTTTTGCTGTCATTTTCATGAATGAATGGACACTTACTGTATATCTGAGGCAGGAAACACAGCCTTATATGGTGTTTTTGGGGTGGTAATT